TGGTCATGCAAAAAAGTCAAAAAATATTGGACACAGGTGTGGGAAATAGTGAAAGGAATTACTCAGCAGAAATTAGATATAAAACCTGAAATGGCATTACTGAATATTATGGCAGGAATTAATGATAAAAAAATGAAATATCATCTAATGTACATATTCACAGCAGCCAGATTACTCTGGGCCCAAAAATGGAAAAGCGAAGAAACCCCAACAATAGAAGAGTTGTTAAAAAAGCTATGGGACATCGCAGAACTGGACACACTATCAGAAGCACTATGGGAACAATCAAGAGACTATACAAAACAAAGCTGGAAACTAATATACTCTTGGGCCCAGAGGAGGACAGGAGTGTATGGCAAATCTGACTATATATGTATATGTATTCAGTGCACACTGGGAACACGGCTGGAGGGAATGATGGGTCAACAAAGCTGGAGTCTCTGACTCCAAAGGGGGGAGGGCTAGTTTAGTAGGTTGGTATTTTGTGTGTGTGTGTTGATGTCTTAGTTGTATGTCTAGTAGTATATTAAAAAAAACTGGTCAAATCAATATTTGTCAGACACAGACTGGGTGAAAAATCTGTATCAACTTGCAAAACTTCTAGGAGTGTTTTGGCTAAAAACAAGGTGTGTGCTCTTCCTGCTCCCTAAATTTTTTTTAAAAAAGAAAGTTGTATGTGCATGGAAGGGATACTGCTGTTGTAGCAATTTACAAATGTTAAAGGAAGGTGGCAAAGAAGAGGGGTGAATCCACATGTGGCATGCATGTACTCTCTCCTGGTACAGAGCATTTGGATGCAATTTATGCTTCCATAGAGTATGCTTAGGTGGCCAAATAGCTCTGTGGTTTAGGCATCTGGCTATGGAGCCAGAGGGTGGGAGTTCGATTCTCCATGGTGCCCCCTCTGAATAGAGCCAGCCTGTGTGGCCTTGGGCAAGATGCACAGTCCCAGAAGTGCCCCCAGAAGAAGGGAATGGCAAACCACTTAGTATTCTCTACCTAGAAAATCCTGGAAGGGGGTCACATGATGATGGTGGTGGTGATGGTGATGATTGGAGTTTCTTTGCAATGCACAGAGCCTCTCTACAAATAAATGCACCCATCACAATGACAGACATTTCTGTAGTGGTTACAGATTTGACCGGATGGGCGGGATACAAATCAAATAAATAAAATAAATAAATTAATAGTAATGGGATTTAAAAGGGATGTGGTGGCACTGCAAGGGACATGGTGGCGCTGCAAGGGACGTGGTGGCACTGCAAGGGACGTGGGGGCACTGCAGGCTAAACCGCAGAAGCCTGTGCTGCAGGGTCAGAAGCCCAAGCAGTCGTAAGATCGAATCCACGCGACGGAGTGAGCGCCCGTCCCTTGTCCCAGCTCCCGCCAACCTAGCGGTTCGAAAGCATGCAAATGCAAGTAGATAAATAGGGACCACCTTGGTGGGAAGGTAACAGCGTTCCATGCCTAAGTCGCACTGGCCATGTGACCACGGAAGATTGTCTTCGGACAAACGCTGGCTCTATGGCTTGGAAACGGGGATGAGCACAGCCCCCTAGAGTCAAACACGACTGGACAAAAATTGTCAAGGGGAACCTTTACCTTTACCTAATGCGATTTAAAGAAGGGGGGAATACTACTACCTAAGCCCAGTAAGGGATAATCAGCAGTCAAACTGGAGCATAAGGGGGACAGTTGTTGGGGTCTAGATAGTGCCGTAAGCAATTAGTAATGGAGAGGAGAAAAAACAAATAACACAAGGGCCAACAAGGGGAACGAGGCCTGTACATCTACCCACCCTCACCCCCATTTTGCTACCATCGCCCTACCTCTCCACAGCTCCTGATTGGGACAACCACCCATATTTCAGTCTTGAAACTTCCCATGATGAGAAATGTTTGGAAAGTGAGTGGAGAGCAGAGAAAGGGGAGCAGACTTGGTCTCTAGTCCCAGCATGCAAACATTTCAAGCCTATTTCAAAGGAATTATATATAGAAAGAAAAGAAAGTACTGTAACCACACCAAGAATGTGTGAACATATCATTTTTGTTATGGGTGGATTATAACAGGAGTGCGAAAACTGAAACTCTAGATAGATCTAGGGAAATCCCAGTTAACCACAAAGACAAGCAAGTGCAGGATCAGTGTGGCTTCCATCAGGTCCAAGTGGTTTCCCACCATCCTCACAGTCATCGAGTCTCCAGCAAGTCTGCCTCCACAACGCTGCAACATTTAATGTGTCCAGATGAGCCCAGCGGAAGCCATGCTGCTGGACCCTGTTCCTCTCGGCAAATCAGATATTTGGGGTAAACATGTCTGTGTCCTAAATGCTAGAAGTGGGAAATTACTGTGTTTGTGCAGCTCCTCTGGGGTTTGAGTCCAGAGGACCCTACAGAAAAGGACTCTTCATGTCTTCTTCTCACCCTGGTCCACCAGTTCAGTAACGCAGGATCTTCTGTTTCTGTTAATTGTTGCCTTTATACAACTGGAGCTCCCCAATGCTGCTAGAAAACTAATGCTTGTGAATGGACCATCTGAATGACCCCTTAAAAGTCATACTGCTTACACTAGAGCAGTTGTGCAAGTGCTTTGACCAAATGGGGCCTTATGTCTATGCAGTTGGATCGTAATTTGGATCCGTGGACACCCATTGTGGCTGCCCTCTCCCCAATAAGGATACTTTAAAAGTATAGACAGAGGAACTGATCCATGTTAATAAACAAGAAGCAGGTCTTTGGTAAAGTTAATGGTTCTTAACTTCTTAACATTAACTGCTCGTGACAGCAGCCACGAAATAAAAAGGCGACCACTTCTTGGGAGGAAAGCAATGACAAACCTAGACAGCATCGTAAAAAGCAGAGACATCACCTTGCCAACAAAAGTACACATAGTCAAAGCTATGGTTTTTCCAGTAGCGATGTATGGAAGTGAGAGCTGGACCATAAAGAAGGCTGACCACTGAAGAATTGATGCTTTCGAATTGTGGTGCTGGAGGAGGCTCTTGAGAGTCCCCTGGATTGCAAGGAGATCAAACCTATCCATCCTGAAGGAAATCAACCCCGAGTGCTCACTGGAAGGACAGATCCTGAAGCTGAGGCTCCAATACTTTGGCCATCTCATGAGAAGAGCAGACTCCCTGGAAAAGACCTTGATGTTGGGAAAGTATGAAGGCAAGAGGAAAAGGGGATGACAGAGGACGAGATGGTTGGACAGTGTCACCGAAGCTACCAACATGAATTTGACCCAACTTGGGGAGGCAGTGGAAGACAGGAGGGCCTGGCGTGTTCTGGTACATGGGGTCACGAAGAGTCGGACACGACTTTGACTAAACAAACAAACAAAATGAGCTAACACATTCAGCATGAAATCACCCACAAGTCAATTGTATCACAGTCAGGACAGCTTGCAACAATTAGTGATCCTGGGAATATCCATCTATCTCCTGACTCCTGTAAGGATTGCACTTAAGGTTGGAGGAAGCTGGGTTGGGGGGGGGGCAGATGATGTCATGGTCCCTGTTGGTCAGAAAGTTCTGGGGTTTTAACCCTGCGAGTCCTGATCCCACTGTCTGTATAAGGGACCATCACCTTCTGCACAGAGAGCCTGTGTTCTCACCCCTAAACTGTGATGGAACAGGAGTCATCCTTAGACACAAAACACGACACTATTTATACTGTGAAGCAGCCTTCCCCAACCTGGGGCCTTCAAAGGGTTTTTTTTTTCAATCTGCATGTCCCATCAGCCTAAGCTCACATGGTCAATGGTCAGGGCTGGTGCGGGTGTTTAGCCCAAACACCTGCAGAGACCCAGAATGGGGAACAGAGTGAAGCTCAGTGAATATGACTAGGCTATGGCTTATCCTACACACAGCCCTGATCGCACCCCTGAGAGAGCTACAAGTAGAGACAGCAGCAGAAGGAAGGGCAACCAGGAATATAGATATATATGAGCTAACCCTCCTCGCCTTTGCTTCAGTTGGGGCTGGAGGGGTGGGGAGGGTGAGGAAGGCAAAAGGGTTAGACTAAAGTCTTCACAGAATAGGAGACAAAGAGAACAAGAACACCCTCAGCATTACACCATCCCATTTTTGCAACTTGCAGACACTCAAGAGAGGTGAACAATGGGGCTTGCCTGGGGGTAGGTCTCTGGGAGTCTGCTTGTATAAACAGATTTTGGCATGAATCACCTCTTTTCCCTGAACAGGCTGGGAAAATGTAGAGCTACGCAGGTAAGCTTTTTTGTTTCAAAGTCCCTCCCCTCCCCACATAAAACATAAATTAGATAGATTGTGGATTATCTGTTCTTTCACAGGTTTTAGTTCCCAGAATCCTAAAGAAGACGACACTGCTGCTAAAAGGAAGCTAAACAATTGAGGGGGATGTGGTTTGCATTGCTTATACCTGGATACAGAAGGACCTCACTTGCTGTCGAAGGATGAGGGCTGCAACTTTAGCAGGAGAGATGGGTTACTGACTCCGTCCCTCTCACACTGTTTGATCAGGGAGCAGTAAAATGAACATATTTGCAAAAAGTGTAATGGAGTGGCACGGTCTTAAAACCCAAGAGGATTGCATGTTAATTGCAAGTTTGCCTCAGCGGGAAACATCCACTCGTGTGAGAGGAGGGAGTTCCCATCGTGAGGCAAATAGCAGCTTTGGAGGTGGGGGTGATTTCATTCCAGCCATGACAGAGAACATCCACTTGTGTGACAGGAGGGAGTTCCCGTTGTGAGGCAAACAGCAGCTTTGGAGGTGGGGTGATTTCATTCCAGCCATGACAGAGAGGAAAAGGTTAAACTCTTCATCTTTATTTCCTCTCCTGCTCCTCTGCTCCTTTCAGGGCTGCTCTTTGATTTGCTTTCATATGAAAGTTAGTAACATGAAGGGCACATTAATAAGCATCACGCCATAAGTGTCCTGCCTGGCTTGACCTCTTGCACTTCCACACAGAGGAGGACGACCCCTGACCCAGAGGAGGGAAGGCCTCTTGTGCCTCCTATAATGGATAGCCGCAATGGGCAGGTGAATTTCTAGGAACCTTCTTCTCCAGAAAAGTCACTGTCTCATGCTCTGCCTAAAAGCATGATCGTCTTATGGAAGAAAAACACCCCAATGAAAAGGAATGAATGGCTAGAAGCTGTATGTGTGTGTGAACCTTTGGCACTCTAGAGCAGGGGAACCCATGTGTTCTAGGACTACAATTCCTAGAGGTCTTTGCCACTAGCTGTGGCTGGGCATGGCTTCTGGGAGTTGCAGGCCAACATATCTAGGTTACCCAAGACTCATAACCACTGTTCTAGACATTTTGGACTTCAGTTACCAGGATCCCCAGCCTGTATTGACAAAAATAAAGGACTCTGGGAGCTGAAGTCCAAAACAGCTGAGGTGGCAAAGGTTTGCCACCCCTGGGCTAGAGGTACAGTGGTGCCTCACTTAACGACGATAATCAGTTCCAGGAAAATCGCCGTTAAGCGAAAACATCATAAAGTGAAATAAAAAGCCCCACTGAAACGCATTGAAACCCGTTCAATGCATTCCAATGGCATAAAAACTCACCATCCAGCGAACATCCTCCATATGGCAGCTATTTTCGCTGCCTGTATAGTGAGGAATCCATCCCTAAACACAGCGGGGAGCCATTTTAATTACCCAGTGGCCATTTTGAAACCACCGATCAGCTGTTAGAAAACCATTGTTTCGTGAAGAAAGCAAAATTCCCCCATTTAGACCATCGTTTTGCGATCGTAAAAAGATAGTCGTAAAGCGGATTTGTCATAATGCAGGGCAATTGTTAAGCGAGGCACCACTGTATAATGATGTTTTCTTTCTACTTAGCAAAGAGATGTATAGATCATCTGGTTCAGAAGGGACCCTCCGGCCATCAGTGAACCACGAGGCCGGTGGCAAAGTGTGCGTGAAGCTGTTGGTTTGTCTTTCAGATTGCAAAATGCATCAGCCGCAACAGCTACCCGGCCTCCACCATCACGTGGTACAAGGATGAAGAGCCTTTGACTGAAAATGGGAAAGGTACGTTTTAAAAGGGCTTTGCAGAAGCGCAGGGAACAGGGCTCTATTCTCCTCTCTAGAAGGAAACTGTGGCCTTTAACATGGGTTTTGCAACTTAAAAAGCACTGCTAGAAGCGTTTGAAAATACAGATTTAGGTGCAGGGTTTAAGAACCGGTGTCATTCCTTTTCCTGCCCTCCCTCCCTCCCTCCCTCCCTCTCTCTTGTCCTCCCTTCATTAGACATTGAAATCCGCCCGATGCACATTATGGAGTCGAGTGGCTTGTACACCGTCCAGAGCACTCTCTTGGCCCAAGTCACCAAAGACGACCGCCATGCCGTCTTCCACTGCCAGGTCGATTACAGCCTGATGGGGGCAAAGCAGACCATCGTGTCCAAGAACTTCACCATCAACATTCATTGTAAGTCTGGGCGGATGGTGGGAGTTTGCTGTGCACTTTGCTCGGATTGGGATGTCTTGACAAGAAGATGCTGTTTGGATGGATGAAAGAAGGGGCCGTTGCCCCTTGTGCAGTTTCTTGGAGAAGGGCAGGACACCTGGGTCCACGTGGACTCTCGGAGAACCCTCTGGGGCTCACCGGAACCTGTGAGCGTGTCATTACGCCTTCCGTTTGGTCTGAGCCTGACCTTTCTGGACACTTCTCTGGGAAACTCTGCTGTCAACGTCCTTGAAACACATCCACAGAGTGCCTCTGAAAGCAGCGTAAAAGTGGGCTCCTGTCACCTTGCCTCTGTGACAGCCCTGGAAGAAGTAAATGTAGTGGGGGAGGGAACCATAGGTGCTCAAGCTTCTTTATCCTCTGCTCTGAGCAGGCCAGCTGCCGAGGAGAAGCTGATCCAGGTTCTGTTTGCTCCGCAGACCCCTCGGAGGAAATCAGCTTTGTGATCAACGCATCAAGGCCAGTCGTGAAGGAGGGGGACAGCGTGACCCTCCACTGCAAAGCCGACGGGAACCCGCCCCCCGAGTACACCTTGGTCAAGCTGCAGGTGAGCCCGGGGGCCGGTGGGGAGGCTGCCCCTGGTCTGCAGTCAAGCTGCAGGTCAGCCGGTCGGTCAAGATGGAGGCAGGCGGAGGTCAGAAAGCGGGTGGATGTTCTAGCTCTCTTCGCTCCATTAAGAGGGGAACAGTCCAAGCTAATTTTTTAGGAACTCTGTCGTTCCTTACCTGGAGAAAGAGCTGTCTTATAGCTTTGTCATGATTGCTAACATTGCGATGGAGAGCAGAGATGGTAGGAATCTCCAGAACGCCTTCTTCGTGTTGTTTCCTTGGAATCTCAGAGAAGCTGCTGCGGCTACTTCCAGGCTTCTGTCTGAAATCATGAGATCTAGAAACGTGAGGTGTCCACACAAATGGGTGTGTAGGTGTGGGTGTCCCAGGGAGAATTTGCCCTTGTCAGTGGCATTGTGTGCTGCTCACGGCCTTCCTAAGCTTTTTTTTCCCCTGCTCTTTTGTCTTTATGCTCTGGAGGATGGGGAAGAAGAGCCGCTGTCCGATGTCAGTGGAGGGAAAGTGGTCCTTCGGGATGTGGACAGGAATCAGAGCGGGAGCTACCTGTGCAAAGTGCTTGACTTGCAGTCCTTTGCCGAGCTGAACGCCTCGGTGAATCTCTTTGTAAACTGTAAGTAAATCTGGGCAGGATTGGGTGGGGGCGGGCTTATTCTGAAAAGAGTGGCCCCCTTGGGTGTCCAGTAGAGCTGTCTAATAAGCAGATACTTACAGAAACTTTAAAAAAAACTATAGACATTTGCAAATCAAAACAAAACACTGAAATCAGAAAGTACATTCTCCTTTCCAAGATTACTTACTTACTTACTTACTTACTTACTTACTTACTTACTTACTTACTTACTTACTTACTTACTTACTTACTTACTTACTTACTTACTTACTTACTTACTTACTTACTTACTTACTTACTTACTTACTTACTTACTTACTTACTTACTTACTTACTTACTTACTTACTTACTTACTTACTTACTTACTTACTTACTTACTTACTTACTTACTTACTTACTTACTTACTTACTTACTTACTTACTTACTTACTTACTTACTTACTTACTTACTTACTTACTTACTTACTTACTTACTTACTTACTTACTTACTTACTTACTTACTTACTTACTTACTTACTTACTTACTTACTTACTTACTTACTTACTTACTTACTTACTTACTTACTTACTTACTTACTTACTTACTTACTTACTTACTTACTTACTTACTTACTTACTTACTTACTTACTTACTTACTTACTTACTTACTTACTTACTTACTTACTTACTTACTTACTTACTTACTTACTTACTTACTTACTTACTTACTTACTTACTTACTTACTTACTTACTTACTTACTTACTTACTTACTTACTTACTTACTTACTTACTTACTTACTTACTTACTTACTTACTTACTTACTTACTTACTTACTTACTTACTTACTTACTTACTTACTTACTTACTTACTTACTTACTTACTTACTTACTTACTTACTTACTTACTTACTTACTTACTTACTTACTTACTTACTTACTTACTTACTTACTTACTTACTTACTTACTTACTTACTTAATGGTGGTTTAAAAAAACTTTTATCTATGTGAGCTATATCTCCAAGTGGGTTAGTCCTGGCAAACACACAAAGCCCATGTAAAAGTTAAGTGCAGGTCAACTGAAACAGCTAAAAACAATACCAAAATAATTTTGAGTTCTTCAATGGCCTTACCCCGATGATAACAACCAGGATAGGTAGACATACAGGCAGACAGAACAGGCAGGCAGAGGGTGCAGGGGTTAGAAAATTGGGCTATGGAGACATAAGTCCAAATCCCCTCTCAGCCATGTATTTTCAGATTGGCCTGCCTCACTGGGTTGCTGTAAATGTTAAATGGAGAGGAAGAATCATGTACCTCACCAGGACAGATGTGCTGTAAATGCAGCAAAGGTTTTTTGTTTGTTTGTTTAAAGAAAAGGGAGTTAAGTCGGTCAGTAGTCCTTTAAAAATCTCAAATTTACGTGAATTTTCAAGAAGCAAAAACTTCATAGGAGTGTTGCAGCCAGAAACATGCAAGTCAAGCTGTTTGTGGTCCCTGTCATTTTTTCATGCTTGATTTATTATTCTGTTCCATCCAATTTCCACATCAAGCTTTTTTAAGAAAGAAAGAAGGAAAACAAACATTTAAAACCAGTGTTCTAGTGGAAAAAGCTCTCTCAAAATACACATTGGATTTTTGTATCTTGATATTATTTTAAAACCCAGTTTTGATACTTTATCTAGTGAAGAATTACTTTCCATCATTTAGCTAATTTCATCAAGAGCTGTGTCCTAATCCATTAAGTATAAA